TATAGAGAGTATTTTACGTTTAATTTCGTACATTTTCGAGGGGTGATGGATAAAATAGGGATGATGACAAAATGTGTCACATGTGTTACACTAGTGGAAATTCAAAACTTTCTTATATATTTCCTTGTAGAATTAAGAACTTAAAACTTTTATGCTGTTCTAATTGGTATAACATAAACAAAAAGTAGTTTAATATAATTTTGTTAGGCCATTCAACTCACAATCTGAGGGTTGCGGGTTCAAATCCCCATCACACTAAACATGCTCGATCTTTCAGCCATGGGGGTGTTATAATGTGATGGTCAATCCCACTATTCGTTGGTAAAAGAGTAGCCCAAGAGTTGGCGGTGGGTGGTGATGGCTAGCTGCCTTCCCTCTAGTCTTACACTGCTAAATTAGGGATGGCTAGTGCAGATTACCTTTGTGTAGCTTTGCGCGAAATTAAAAAACAATCAATCAAACAATAAGATTTTGAATGTAAGACACTAAAACCTTGTGTCATGTGCAGTAAATGGTAACCGGGGTGATAGGGTTAATATCTGGAATGTTGAAAGGGCATTCTATGAAACTGATATTTGTCTGAAGGTAACACAAAAGCAGTTTTAGTTTTATCTTCCTCTTCTATCTCTACCTGCCAATACCCACTTTGTAAATCCATAGATGAAAAGTACTTACTCTTACCTAACCTATCTAATGTCTCTTGGATATTAGGTAATGGATAGATGTCTTTGACTGTTACACCATTCACCTTCCTAAAATCCACACAGAACCTTAACTTCCCATCCTTTTTAGGAACTAATACAACTGGAGATGCATACGGACTGCTACTGTCCACTGTTACTCCTTGTTTAAGCATCTTTTTACACATTCATTTAATTCTACCCAGTGCTTCTCTGGCATTATATAGGGTCTCTGTGCTATAGGCTTATTGTTATTCAACACTGTTCTGCGTTTAACTTTATGTGTATGAACATTAGGGTAATTTTCCTACAAATATATCTCTATACCCTTATGGAAAAACATTATCAGACCTTGCTTACGTTTCTATTTTACATTTCCTGAGATAGAATCCCAACTTATCTTACTTTGTTTGTGCCTGTTTCTTAGTATTTCCAACATTATGCTGTCCCACTGTAGCTAATGTTTCTCTACTACTAACCTTACCTACTACTAAATGCTTAGGTAGTGTTACTTTTTCCTTATTTACATTCAACACTTCTATAAGCACTGTGACTCTCTCGGACACTATACTAATACAAGCAGCAGTATAAACTCCTGCTTCTTCTATCTCAATAGGTTCAACTAACACTTCCTCATTACACTTAAAGTCGTCTACTCTAGCTTCAACAATAAATTGACTTCTTGCAGGTACTTCAGTTACTTTAACTAATCTTACAGGTACTCTGTTGGGATGCTCTGTTGCTTATATTAGGGATATGTGTAGAGTCATCTGAGGGGTTTCAATTCCCAATTCCTTGTTCTCACTACACTCTAAAAAATCAGTGCATTCATATTTCAACGACTGATCCTTAGCCTTGCTAATGCTAGCATTAGGCATCTGATTATTAGCTTTAGTCAGTGGGAAGATATCATTTGTCTCAACGGTTGCACAGAAGTCTGAAGGTTCAAGTCTTTCAAAACTTAATATCTTAATTTCTATGCACAGCTTACCTCTGGCAAGAGATATTTCAGTGTCATAAGCCCTTAAGAAATCCTACTTTATAATGCCATCTGTTTCTAAGTCTGTCTGTGTACAGATATATAACAAGTGTTCTCTCTCTAAATCTCCTATTTTCATCTGAACACTATACTT